CTAGAACTTGGACCAAGTTCTAGCATCGTGGACACAGGCCTTTAGAAAAAGGAAGATAAACTCTGAACTAGTACAACTATAGTTCAGCTATAAAAAATAGACCCAACATGTCTTCTGGGACACTCTATACATAGGGTCTGTTCTTTATAGCTGAACTGGCTGCACTTATCTTTCTTCTTCTAACGTGGAGAGAAAAAGATAAACTCTGAACTAGTGCGGCCAGTTCAGCTGTAAAGAACAGACCCACGATCACACACCGACGTCCACACACGTGTCGAGACGGTGATTGGCGCCGATGCAATGTTTACATGGGTCGATACACTCCATACAAAAAGAAAACATTGACAACATGATAACCTAAATACAATGTCCGGGCGTAACGGTTCAGTAGATCTGAATAAATCCAACGGACAACTTGCGAGACAGAGGAAAGCAGTAAGTTCTCACTGTGCCGGTCTGTAACAACAATAAATTATATTGTCGCCAAAACACTATCCGATCGCAGCGCCCATACTATCAGTTATTTGTTACGTGCTTATCAGCGATGATAAGCATGATATTTCATCCCTCCTGCTGTATATAGTACAAAGTTGGCTGACTATTTAATGCCTGCGCAGGCACCGCGCACCTTCAGAAGCAACGGACAGGATGGGGCTCGCCGGCTTCGTGGGAATTTTGTTGCTGTTGGAAGCTTGCTCGCTCGTCCACGTAGTTCGGCCCAACTGTCTCAACAGTAGCTTTCCTGTGATAGTGATCACCTGGGATTATAAAGACGCGACGGAGAAAGGTACATTGACCCGTCTGTCAGGGGTAAGGGAGATAAGCACGGGGAGCCTCTGGTAATTCGAGACACTCGGCACTTTCCATTTACTGACACAAGTATCATTGTGTCATTGTTGTTCACTGATTGTTGAGAAAAGACTGACGCTTGTGTCGACCTGTGTCGCTAATTGGAAAGCACTAATTGCCAATTGTTTAAGCATGGGACGTGATACATAAACAGAAGAGGAGCGCTCTGGACGCGATAGAGGAAGGATGTTCCCTGTGCGAGGAGCAGCGATGCAGGAAGACGGTGGGATTCGGCGGCAGTCCGGATGAATCCGGGGAGACGACGCTGGATGCTGTCATCATGGACGGGTAATGAGGGCAGACGAGGGCGTGGCTTTTCTTGCTTCGTTGAATTTACATCAGTGATACGAGACTGCATTCCTCTCAACAGAGTGACGATGGACGTAGGCGGAGTGGGAGGACTGCGAGACGTGAAAAACGCCATCTCGGTCGCCCGCAAGGTGCTGGAGCACACGAAGCACTCCTTGCTGGGCGGAGACCTGGCCACGGAGTTCGCCGTGAACATGGGATTCAAGAGAGAGTCCCTGCAGACGGACGAGTCCAGGGAGATGTGGGAGCAGTGGAAGAGCAACAAGTGCCAGCCCAACTTTTGGAAGGTATCGAGAAGAGAGAAGCCCACGCTCTTGTCTTATCTTAGGGTCAATTTTATATCTTACACTATAGCGAAAATGATAAAAGTGAATAGCTTTGTCTCTTTCTAAGAGGACAGTTAGAAAGAGACGAAGCTGTGGCAGAATTGATGCCCAGAATTGATCCCCTTGTCTTAGGGTCTGAGTAGAATGGCTGTCTTGTACTCTTCGGACACAAGACAGTTATTGTGCGTTACTTTAAGACAAGGACTTAAAACGTAAAACATTGCTGAGTACAAGACAGCCGTTCTGCTCAGGCCCTTGTGGATACTAGTAGTCTTTCTGGGGGGTTTTCTTTTTTAAAAGAACGTCGCGCCGGATCCAACAACCAGCTGTGGGCCATACCACGCGAAAGACGTAGAAGACGACGACGGTGTATCAATAGGAAGCGAGGAGAATCACGATACGATAGGTGTGCTCGCGATAGACTCGCAGGGACATACGGCAGCTGGAACGTCCACGAACGGCGCCAGGAACAAGATACCCGGGCGCATCGGGGATTCTCCTATCGCGGGTGCTGGCGCATACGCCGAACAGTACGTCGGTGCGGCAGCCGGTACCGGCGACGGAGATATTATGATGCGATTTTTGCCGAGGTATTCGCGCCACTTGCCAATATAAATATATTGGCAATCTCTCTTTCTTTCTAATGAAATATAAATTACACATTTAAATTTGACCTGAGCCTTAGATCTTCTACTTTAATTTAATACTCGCTATCTAGGATCCTAGTAATACAGTTGTATACTTTTCGTAGCTTCCTGGCGGTGGAGGAGATGCGCTATGGAGCAACGCCGAGTGTCGCTGCTAGGAATGCGATTAATAGAATCGCCGCGTATTATCCTGACTTCTTCGGTGCGGTGATCGCGTTGAACGCACAGGGAGAGTACGGAGCGGCGTGCAACGGGATGGCCGCGTTTCCTTATTACGTCGCGAATCCCACTCTGGGCCCTAAGCTACTTTCGATTCAATGCAGTAACTATGATCCAAAATGTCACAAGAACGACGAAACTTGTTAATTTGTATGTTTGGTGATTTTTCAAGGTGATGCGAGGCGATGTACACTTTGAATAATCGGACGGGATTTTTCAGAAATCCCGTCCGGTTATGTTAAGGACATACTGTGTCGTCTAGCATTCCTAGTGATATTAGTGTAAATGTTATATTATAACTCCGAGATATTAAGTAAAGGAAACTGTGTAAAAGAAAGAGAGCTTCGCAAGTGCAGCGCAGCTATCAGGAAGCGTGTTTCGAGACAGAGATTTCTTACGGTATATTTTAAATGATAAATAATGAATTTAATTTATCTTAACACTCCAAAAATTTTATAAATATGTATAATTTCTTTTATATGTAAAAGGTAGATATTGTATGTGATTTTCGTGTTTTAAAAATATATCGTATACGTGTGATGGCAAAAATTTCACCAATTATCGATTGCAATTTTGTCATAAAAATTGACATTACGTACGTTTTAAAGGTAGGTAACTGATTTGCGTACAATCGACAAAGTCACTCGCAACTTCGCCGATCGTACGCAAATCAGTTGCCTACCTTTCCATCACAATATCCGCGATATTAATTACCGATAAAATTTAAAATTCTCAAAATATCGAACAAAGAATCGTGGTAAATACGCGAGGCGTCGTCAATTAAGTTGGAGAATTTCAATCGCGCAAATCGACTCCCTCGGCGATACATGAGACGCGTTTACTTTTTCACGCGGGTAAATTCCGCGCGCGTTCCTCGGCGCGGCGGCTGCGCGCGGAGCAGGGCGGGCGACCGTGTTCGCGCAGTTCCTAGTCAGGTTAGCTCGGGTTAGGTTAGGTTATGTGTCACCGTGCAGATGGAAAATATTCGCGTCTGATCGCATTCGCCGAAGATGATAAGGGCCCGCGAGGACGCGCGAGCGCTGGAACGAGTTAAATGTACACGCGCGCCCCGCACGCAAGCCCCCGAGACCGTCGTCTTCCCGGCCCGCCGCGCGCGCGAGCAGCTGCCCTAATAGGAGGAACCGAGTGCACGGATACGCGTCGTCAGCGTGTCTCGCGCGGAACGCCTGGGCATGGATTATGCAACGGTCATCGACGACGCGGTCAGGCAGTTTTACTCGGTGGGCAACAACGAGGCGCACTCATGGCTCCTACAGGTGCAAGCCTCCCCCGAGGCCTGGCAGTTTGTCTGGCAGCTTTTGGACCCTTCCAAGGTACCTGTCTGCCCGTTCGGCTCTTCCTTTCTCCCTGCTCCGCAAAACTCGCGACTCTCCTCTTGCTACGCGTCGCCTCCCTTGCGACTCGTCGCGACGTTTCCCAAGCTGGTTCCCACTCGCGGGGCACTGCAATTTAGGTCGAACCTGATTGTTGCTCCTGGACCGCAGTCAACTCGATGCCTCAAAGCGTTCTTTCCACACAGCACTTCTTTAAGAAGTTTATACATACGTGTTGTTTGGGTTCTTTCTTCTTCATAGACTTAATATATCTAGACCAAGCGTTTGCCTTTATTTGACCAGCGGTGGAGGTCTGGATATATTATGCCCATGTTCTTGTTTGAAGGAAGGGAGAAGAGTGCATTTCGCGGCATTTATACGAACCGCAGCTTGGGACTTGAAAGTAGTAAGAGGATGAGTCGACGATAACAGACCGAGTGCTTTAAACGGATACGAATCTGCACAGTGGGCTCTTTTCCTTTCTGTCTATATGTAAACGAGACCTGTTCTTTGCAGTCATACGAAGTGCAATTTTTCGCGGCGACGACTCTGCACGCAAAGATATCGAAGCAGTGGAATGAAGTGCCTGAAGCTGAGTATCCGGTGTTAAGGGAACGTTTGCTCAATAGTGTGAGAAGGCCCAACATCCCCTTATGCATCCTTATAAAGCTTTGTCAATCGGTAATACACTCTTCGCATTGTCGTCTAGGGAGGCAAGAGCCAGGATTGGGAAAGTTACTTTATAAGTATCTGGTTGCAGTTTTCTCGCTAAATATGTAACTAGTTACAGTTACAAGTTACCAATTCTGAAAAGTAACGCCTTACAGGTATTCAAAAAGTAGCGATCGTAACTTTGCAGTTACTTTCCTGCAATGACAATAAAAATATCAAGTCTACATTCGAATTGTAAAGCGTTGATAAAGGCATTTATGTGCAAAGACCTAGTGCAATCTGCGAGAATTTAAAAAATGTATAAAGTAACTATTGATGTAACTATTAAATTAGTTACTGGTTATCGAAAAATGTAGCTGAGTTAAGTTACAGGTACAGAAAGTATTAAAGTTAAGTTAGAGTTACAAAAAAAAAAGTAACTGTAACTTTGTTACAAGTAACGAGTTACTTCCCAACCCTGATAAGAGCGCGCTGTGAACAAGCCATTATCTAACGTACACTGATTTCAGTTAGCCGCATTTGTGGCCAATGTTTACGGTGTAGAAAACAGGGAACAGGATAGGAACATAGTCGACGAATTGTTCGATATGTTACCCTATAATTCCCCGTCCGGGTTAGAATTACTGCTTCGAGTGCTCTCGGCGCTTCCCGTCGAGGTAAGATGTAAAATATAGGCTGCTTTCCGGCCCAACCGGAGGTTGAGAGTTTAACTTTTACCCCTTGGCAAATTTCAACTGACGGCGAACTTGCGATAATTTCCAGTACGAGAAGCGACAAGTAGCGAAGATTGCCAAGCTACGGGGAGCTCCTGTCAACCTGATCAACAGCTGGTGCCAAACCGCGTGGTTCTTGCAGCGGGTCTTCACGATGTGTAACCCGGATTCTCAAGGCAACGACGAAGTGTTGTACTCCCTGGGACTGGAATGCGCTCAGTCGTGGCTCAAGATTGGCCAGCTGTGTTTGGAGACCATCGGCCAGATCTATCCCTATTTGTTAGTGGCCGCAGCTCATTACGCACCTAATAAGTAAGTTGCGTTATTGAAGGGCCGATTAAATATCGTAAACTTAACTGTGCATTAACAGAGAAAGTATGCAATATAATAAGTGGGTCACCGAATTGTTCATTAAAATCGATTCTCTTCGTTGAAGGGACGAGAATCATGGCGACGATGAGAACACCAAGAACTGGGATGTGGTGCAAGATTGTTTGATCATCGTCGTAACGCACTATGAGCTTCACAAACGGCCGCAGACGTTCTGGGAGTGGGCCAGGAGTTTGGTGCTGATGGCGAAGCAGTACAACAGAAAATACTTCTGCGAGATATTAACCGCCATCGGAGAGGCTCACAGTCGAGCGTTTCTGATCGCCCTGGCCGAGAACTCGAACGAGGCGCACACGTGGACGGCAATGGGGCTGATAGATCTGCTACTGGAGTGCTCGGAACTGGAGGGACGTTATCCCACCGACGAGACGCGCAGCTGCATCCCGTTTGGATTCTGGTACGCGTTACAGGACGATCTCGCCACGCTGGATCAACCGTTGGAGAATCGGGCTCTGGAGGCGCTGAAACCGATTTACTTTCGATTGGCCGAGGCGTTGCTGCGAAAGTCAACGTTACCCGCGTCTCCGAGCGAGAGGGGAGACGCGGAAGATCGCGAGCTTTTCAGATGCTACAGGCAGGATGTGGCCGACACTCTGGACTATTGCTACAGCGTACTCGGCAGCGATCTGCTGGCGTTTCTCGGACAGAGATTGAGCCTCGCGGAATCACCGTGGACCCACATAGAATCAACGTTACACGCCTTCAAAGCTCTATCCGAGAGCGTCGGTACCCAAGAGTACAATTACATCCCTGCGCTGATAAACTTGATTATCGTTTACATACCTTACCATCTCTATCCCGAAGAGGTACGTGCGATCGTTCTTGGAAGTGACGAAGAATTGCAAACCACATTTTTTTCTCCCTTTCTGCATTTTCGAAGTAATTCACTTTCGTGAATCGTTTCCTTCGCCAGAAATTAAATAACAGACAAATAACTTAATTGCTAGTGTTGAATATATAACTGGCTATAGTTTGATTAGAAGAAATTTATTGCGAAAATATGACCTCAGCCTTTTTTATAATAAATGTCTTCTAATTAAACTAGTGTCAATTATGTCGAATAATTGACGATAATTATTTGTCTTATGATTTCCTTTCGGCCAACTCTTTTCGACGATCTTTGCCTAAGGAGACACGTTTGTACATTCTCATAAGTAGTCGACTCATCGAACACAGGTACTAACGTGCGCCTGTTCAACGCTGGGCGCTTACGCCGAGTGGATAGGAGAGCATCCGGAGCCGTGGCTGGAGAAGGTGTTGCAGCTCGTCACTCAGGGACTGACCAGAGGCTCCACGACAGCGCCGTTCGCGAGTATGGCGCTGAAGGACCTGACGAGGGAGTGCGGGCCGTATCTCGCTCCTTACGCGCCATCCATTCTTCACACCATCAGTCAGACGCTGCCGAATGTCGAGCCTGGCGGCGGGGAGGGCTTGCGGCTCATGTACGCGGCCGGAAAACTGCTCAACGTGTTGTCATCTATGGAGGAGCAACTGATGCACCTGGAGGCGACGCTGGGATTGTGCGTGACGAAGATCAAGGAACTGTTGGAGCAGTCATTGTTCACGGCGCGGCTTGGCGTGACGAATTATCTCAAGATGGTCACCATGTTCTTCAGCACGATCGAGGGTGCGATCGGCAAGGCCGTGCTGGACGGCGTGCTGCCGGTATTCAATCAGATCATCACGCATCACGAGTGGAGCCAGGATAACGCCACGTTGGAGGCGATGCACATGTGCGCGCAACGATCCCTGTCGGCGTTGCGACAGCCGGAGATCGAGGCGCGGCCTCTGCTGCCAATCCTGTCGACCTCCTACAAGATCTGGCCACATCCAGCCGCGTTAAATCTGCTCAAGCAGCTCGTGCTTCTGTTCGGCAGAGATCCGGACAACATTGTGAGTCCGGTACTCGCGGAAATGAGCTTGCTGACTTTGAATGGCGTCAAAGTGTGTAGGTCGGTACAGGGCGACCTGTCCGAGTGGTCAGACCTTATGGAGGCGTACATGGGCGTGCTTGCGCAGATCTGCAAGAAGAACGCCCGGTTGTTGCTGCAAATCCCAGATCAAATACCGGACATGCTGCAATGCGGTGAGCGCGATGTCTCGTCGATGTATAAATATTTAAAAAAAAGAAAGATCGCCGTACAATGCTCACGTTATCTCTTCTTACAGGGATTACTTGTCTGACGCTCCCGGAGACGGCGACGGCTAAAGCGGCCGGGCATTTTCTTAGTCACGCGATTGTACAAAGCCCGCACCTGCAGACATTTATTCAACCGATCGGACTGGAACTTGTCGCCGCAATTTTGCATTGTATCGGTAAGCAGAAGACCTCGGGATATACGCGTCTGCGTACGTTGAGTCGTTCATTCAAACGCTCCTATTAATTTCTCTCTTCATTTCTATCAGGCGGAGCAGTGCCTCACAATTTAGAGCCTCACGCCGAGGTTCTGCTAGCGTTGAACAAAACTTGTCCGGAATGGACCGCGCAATGGTTACGCGCCGGGCTAGAGAATCAAAAGAACCTTGCTACAGTGTTGCAGAAGGAAGACGTCACGCGCATTTTGCGCGAAAGAACGAATAAGAACCGACTTTGCGACGTACTAAAGGAATTCAGTAGTCAATGCCACCAGAAGATGAATATATGACAATAGAACTTTCGTGATGCCAACTGACAAATCCTATTGTATGAAATGTCCGACTTAAGATATGTATTACACAGAAATTAACATAATTTATCTCTTCATAATAAACGCTGTATAATGTATATAATTGTTTTATACAGTTTTATGCATTTACTTGGCGATTGTAAAATATTAATCGATCGTGTCATAAAAGCGCTTAGTGTGCTGAGCACAAAGGTCCACGTCGTGCAAAGTAAATAACGATAATAAAAGGAATATTTATAGTACACATAGTAAAAATATAGAAACACGAGAATAATACACATACATCCAATTCCTTTTTGTGTTCCGAGAACAATGAGGATATCGAGGTATATGTATAATTATTTTGAATTCTTTAATCCTTTTAGGAGTATGTGCAGTTTTTACCGAAGCAATTTATGGCGAACGAAATATGTTTGATTCCCAGAACGTGGATAAGAGAGAGTTGAAACATTATAACAATGTAATAACAATAATGGTTTGATTTTCTTAAAGGTTTGGAAATGAGAAAGATACATATAATCGATCGAAAGTAATATACGAGGTCAAGGGAGATTGCGAAATATATTTGGCAACTTTACTGCGCTTTCTTTATTGTATAGCAAGATCGAAACATACCGATGGAGTTAATGTTTCTGTTTAATTTTGATTTCTGTTTGCAATACAGAAAAGAGGAACAGAAAAATTCACCGAAGATATACATTTCTATTTAGGGACTTGATATCACTTTCTCAACGTCTTACATATACCACACATTTAATATTGCCTCGTATTATAACGTTTATATGCAAATCGACGAATATGTTGCAATAAAAATCGGCATTTCATCGGTTCTCTAACTATCGTGATGCATTATTAAATTAAATAATATAATAGATCTTCTGTCCAATACGAACTGAAATACTCTTAAAAAAACGACATGTTCCTTCAGATAACGTCAAAACTAATACAAACTGATTATTATGCACACACGCGATATACTTTACAATAGAAACTAAAATATACCGCAAGCAAAAAAAATAACTACATAATAAAGGTATCGAAACCTTAATTTAAAATGTCTCCATATTTGTGCATATATTATGCTAAAATATATAGATAAATAATCTCCAACTCTTCCGACCAATTGCAAACTTACTTGTCTTCTTGATGGTATATCGTGAAATCAAGACACAAAAAGTTATCAGTACAAATGGTACACTGCACCGTGAGATGTCAACAATTAAAAGTAAAGCAGTCCTTTGCGATACAAAATAATAATTCTCGCTTATATATTCTTTACATTGTACGTTACGTATATAAGTTCAGTGCGTGTATATACATTTTGACTTGAAACGATCGGTCATGTTATTTCGTGCACGGACATGCGATTGTATGTAAGTACGAAAAAACATTTGGGTGCGTCAATATAGTCTTCAAAATGAACCGTGTAATATTTGGCCCGTTGGAAATCTTCGGGAAAAAAATGTCTACTTATTTTTATTATAAAATGTAGAAAACGAACGATGGTTGGGGGGGGGGAGGATGGATCGATATAATTATTTTATATGTACATATAATTTGCAAAGATCTACCCCGCCCCTAGAGATAAAGCAGAATTTTCACTTGGGGGGTTCACCACCATTTGATAATGGTGGTGCGCCGAATTTCGCGGCAACGCGCGACTTCCTGGGTTTGGACGATTTCCCTGCATTTTGCTGCGGCTGTTGCGACGGCTGTTGCTGCTGCTCGCTCGACGTCTTCTCTCTGGCCTTATGTACAACTTCCGATTTCTGTTTCTGTACGCCAAAAACGTGACAATCGACCAATTCGATCACAAATATCAACGCGACAAAAAGAAACGACTTGACTTTGGTTTACGAACCTTGGGCAATGTTTCCTCTTGTTTCTGTTGCTGATGCGCTTTAGGACTGGAGCTCTTCTTCGCATTCGAATTCGTCTCCTTCGAGGCTTGTTGTACGCTGGCGTTCCTACTCTTTTTCTGAGCTTGCAAAGGAACGAACGCAGTGCTGTTCCTAATCTCCACCTTCGGTCCGTTCTGAGGACCTTTCTGTGGCCCTTGATATTTCACTTGCGGCTGCGGCTGCGGCTGCGGCTGCGGCTGCGGCTGTGGCTGCAGCTGCCTGCCTTGGCTATACGATGCGATTTGCCCGAATGGTGGATTCGGTGGCAATTTCGGATTCCACTTTGGATAAAACAAGTTAGGCTGCATGGGCAAGTTCTGCGGGACTGGCGGCATTTTCATGGGGCCCATAGGAGGCGGCATCATAGGAGGCCGGATATTTTGGATCCAGTTGTTTTGTTGCATATTAAACCACTGGGGCGTCATTACTATTTTCGTATCCTGCGCCGCCTTGTTCAAATTTAATGCCTGAGACACAGGAAGCGCCATTAACAAAAGAAGCAAGAAGAAAGGAAACTTTTCATATACTTATTGTTTTTGTAATTACCTTGTATGCCTTTTTCGCAGCGTTCTCCGCGGCCTGCTCGTGAGTGCTGCAGGGATCGCCTTTGAAAACCTTGGAATTTTCCACCATCACGTGGGCGGTAATCAAATTTGTCTTTTCGTCAGCAATGTAATTGTACTTCGGTACGCCGGCACCGTTGTACGAGTAGTGTCTCAACAATTGCGAGCTGTACCAGACCGGATTTACCTTCTCCTTTTTCTGTTCGGTTCGCCGAGCGTGCTGAACAAACGCGTATACATGGTTAAATTATCGTACAACATAGGCGCGAGCGTGCGCGAACAGAATATTAAATGCATACATCGAACAACTGTTGTACCAAAGGTGGAGTGTTCAAGTTTGTTTGATCCTTCTGCAAAACTGCCGCTGTCTGAGGCGTCCCCGGGGGTTGCGGCGTAGACTGTTTATGTTCCTGCTTACTCGTTTGCGCATTTACATCAGGAATCTTCAGCATAGCTTTCAAAAACGCGCTAGGATCTTGCGGCTGTAACACGACGACCTTTTGGAAACACATTTCGACGAAGCGGAAAGAATTTAGAAGGTACAATGTTTCATCAGTGCTTACAGACTGCACGTTGTGCACATTGTGATTGTTGCTGAATGGCTTGACTTTCGCCACAACTGGACTGGCTGCCACCTTCTCCGGCGGTCCGTTCGGCTTCTATCGCGCAGCAAGGAAAGCCGTACAGCTTGTGAAACAAACCACGTTACTCTACGTCGCTACACTTACCTGTATCTTGTGCAGTTCGTTCCACAGCGCTTGAAATTCGGACGCTTGATTAGGCGGCGCGTTCTGAGGAGCCTGTTGGAACGCTTTGCACGGTATCATTTTCGGGCTTACTTCTATCATGCCGTGTTGCGCCATACCCATACGAATGTCGTGATTCAATTTCTCGAGTCCCTTCTTAGCGAGTTGCATCTGCGGATACGTCTTCGCCGTCGACTGATCGTTATTCTTGCTGGGAGAGGCGGAATTCGCCGTTGCTTGCTTTCGGTATTCCGCCAATTCGTTCGCCGGATTCCCCTGCTCCGTTCTCTCGCCGAAACTGATGTTTATGAAGTCCGTGCTTGCCAGACGATAACCGCGAAACTGGGAGCAGCCGCTTAACGTAAGTCCGCCTGCAATACAACGCGCGAACGTGGAGTATTCCATAAAAATTGACGCCCGCCGGAAAGCCGTGCGTTTCTCACCCATGAAAGGCTTGTCGAACAGAACGTCGTATGTGGTGTCAATCGGACTGTTTCCCTTTCGTATTCCTATGATGGTGCCCACAAACCCGAGCGGTACACTAAAACCGTTTCTGACGCAGCGGATTCTGTCGAACAAACGATTTTGGGAATATGGGTCGGGCGGCACGCTACGAAGGTGCAAGCCCGGCTTGTAAAGCAACTGGGGCTTCACTTGCAGGAAAATAGTCTTCGACGTGGCCTTCTCCGCCTTCAAGCACTCCTCCACCTCCTCCTCGATCTGCTTCACCAGGTCCGTTTCGATGACGTCCATCCCGCAAGCGCGACTCTCCAGGCCGTGCAGTTGCGTCTTTAGCCAAGCAACCGTATCCTTCAGGTCATCCGATCTACAACGTTCACGTTGCGTTACACTACGTTGTATCACGTATATTTTACAACGTATGTAAATACGCAATGTACCCCTTTTCGAATAGCTCCTCTTCTTGGAAAATGTCATTCGTTACATTTTGCGCCAGGCGTTCGAACAAATTAGGACACTGCGACATGTAATTCCGAATCAGGTCGATCGCTTTTGTACTGTACAACCATTGGCTGTTCTCCTTCCTAGTATAACCGGGCACCTTTGAACATTTCGAGAGATTGAATAGGGGAAAATGACTCGGAATATACATTACCAGTTACATTTATAAAGTTATATTCGACATAACGAGTTAAATTTGTACACCTCTTACCTCTTCATTACGTTTGTTGAACTTCAAATTCAGCCCAAGGTTATACTTGGAAAGTTCCTCGTTCGACGACTGTACCACATAAATCGTCCCAGTGATCCTGCTTAAGAGATGACTGCTTATTCCAAGGCGCTGCGCGGCAATACTGCCGTGCATATATCGCGTCTTCTGTTGACCATAGGATTTCTTAAGCGTCTCGAATGTCAGCCCCTTTACGGTCTTTATAGAAATTTTGATTCTGCGCGACTTCGAAGCGTCCTTATTTTGCATCACCTGTGGATTCACAAAATCTTCTCAGGCAAACCATCCCCTTTCCAATTAATTCAATCAAGTCCGAGTAATTTAATTAGAAGCATTACTCCCGATACCTAGGGCCAGTCTCACACGGTTAACCGCTAGCCGAAGGTTGATGTTCTGTTCCCTTCTTAGATAAAGATGGGTAGTTGACTGAACTCCGGTTAACAGTTAACCGACATTTGTGAAACTGACCCCCAATGTGAGACGCGAGAAGCGCAATGCGGATTGTACCTCTCCCATCGCGCCGTAATAGGGATGCCCCAACATGAAACAAAAGGTTCCCGGTATAAAAATATCATGCATATTTTCGTAAACTGGCAATTTCTTGCTGTAGACGGAGATATCTCTGACTACAGTCTGGTAAGCGTAAACCGCAGGATATTCGTTCCAATGTTTCTCGACCGTAACTTTCCCCTGGGCGCCGAAAACATATTTGTTGCCCAGGAATACGCGAGTGTACAGCAACACGTCCGTATCGCCGATTTCTACCCCAAGACGTGTCATGTGTCTAGAAGCAAATGTTATATTACACTCTCAGCAATTACTTTATTATAAATGAGAGCGTCAATGATCTTACAATTCTTTGATTTGTTTGCTGTGCGCGTTCCACTCGCTCTTCACGTCCTCCTTTTTCAGATTCTCGTGACTGTAACCGCCGCACGGATTGACTAAACCAAGCTTCGTGTTGCAGTCAGCCACGCCGATCACGAGGGCCTCTTTCAAATGCGGCCACTCCACATACACGCTCTTTCCCAGTAGCTCCGAAGCTAAAGCCGCCAAATTTGGCGTTTGCTTTGGTATTATGGTCAAAATCATATTCTCTCCGACTGAAGGCTGTTGAAATACCTTGACCTAACAAAGACATTTGTATAACAACCTGTTAAGATTCGAAACAATATCAAACTTTAATGTATAAAGTTCCTAATATGAAATAGGGGGGGTTTCTGTCAAATTAACAAGCATCATCTATTGGTTCCACTATGAGTTTGTTGCTCTTGAAGTGAAATCTGTTTAGTGGAAAATTCATTGGTAGATCGTGTGATCGTCGTGAAAGATTTGTGATTGAATTTATATGTTGAAAATTTGCTATCTCACGTTAGAAGCCCAATCTCACGATAGGGGAACTTTCCTCTACGTATATACCTTCGCTTTTTCCAAATGCGCCCGATGATTCAAGTGCCGTAATATAGGAAATCCTGGATAATAAACATCTAGATCAAAACCGGGAGACAGTCCTCTGATCAACTGTTCCCTCGGGACAAAAATGTCGTCGCGACTCATTAACTTTACTTGAGCGTAACTGTTAAAGTCTGGAAAGTATTCTGTTGCCTTGTGAACACTTTGGATCTCGTCACTATACGAGTACAAACACATCGGCCCGTGTTTGTTCCTCGCTGCTTCTTCCGTCGTTAGTCTCGACAAGTGCGGCTGCATAGCTGTCGCAGGCAAGTGGAAACAGTAGAGTACGTTGAGTATATTTTACATCGGCATTTTGGAAGAAAGTTTAAAACTGATTAATATTTTCAGGACGTGAAAGATTATTACTCACAGGCCAACAACAGTTTCTCGTCAATGAACGGGATAAGCACGACTGCTTCCCACTCCTGTCGCTTTCCATTTAGATCAGTTTTAAAATTATGTGGATAATAATTGATAATGGGGGAAGATTCCTCCGTCAATAGCAACTGAAATGCCTCCGGCAAGAGGTCCTTGCTAAATGCAGGTAACACAGCTAGCAACTGTTGAAAGGGTAAGAACGGCTCTCCAAGGTCGAACTCCAGCTTCAGGTCCTTGAAATCCTTTATGTCTGAAATGTACGGGGCGTAATGATGCGGATAGTACCACGACCAGCTGCAACAGCCGTGATAATAGTAATGCAAATTCCACTGTATCGCTCTCACGTAGCCCTCGGCCTGCGAACGTAAAACTTGCCTGGAAATAAAAAGTGCACTCGTGAAAAGGCTGGAAATATGTTAAATTTCACGGACACGCTGCGTAAAATTGTACGTCTACAAGAGTACTCACTCGTCAACGTTCTCATACTCTAACTTGTTCATATAGTAATCTTTCTTATGTTGTACAAATTCCATGTTGTATATGTCACTATCGGACTCGTCATCTATTATTACATCCATATCTCTATACTCTATAAAGACATCATCATCATCGTCAAAATTACCTAGGGACTGTGTTGCAAAGCATTAATTATCACTTATTTAGCTATCTACGCAGCGATCGTTAGAAAACAATTTAATAAGTACCATCTCCGCAGTACTTTTGATAAGAGCATCTAAATCTTTATCGGCCGCCTTCTTCGGAGATGCAGTCTCACTCTCCTCCGCCTTCTTATATACATGACGTTCAGACTCGTTGGGCCTTCTACCTGTTTTACTTTCAAAAAACTTTATATCGGCGTAATGCTCGTTAAACTGCTCTACGTCTAAACGACTAAGCTTCTCCATAAACTTTTCAAAACGATCGAGCTTTAACGTTCCCGCTTCATTTATGTAGCCTGAAGCAAAACGCAGAATGTCACGTTCATTCGATTGCACAAAGACGTCAACCCTTCACCCGCGATAACAATTTATAATGTACCTTCTAGAGTCGGTAATACTTCCATGTATGCACGGTACAGAATAGGCAGTGCACCGTTGGCAATATGTAAATTTGGCAGGTGGGGAATAAAGTCGTTTCCTACCAGAAAACCCATCAAGACCCAGTCGTCGATTATCTTCTCGATATCAAATGGGAAGGACAGCATGTCCTTGATCGGCGAGAACTCGTGCTCTATGTACTCTCGCAGGAGCGACAGATGGAGGAGGCAAAACTTGGTTTCCTCGGGGGTGGTTTTCACCTGCTGTTTACCAAACTTGACCTCCTCCCTTAACAGAGAGAAGTTGGGCTCGTGCGAGCAGAGACCTAACATTATCAAATCAGCATCCAGACCGTATAAACAGTGCCTCGAGTCGTTGTCGTAATCCTTGCCTGCCTTCATGTACCTTATGTAATCCATAATTTTGTGCTCTCCCTCTCCAGGGACCTGAAACGGAATTCAATTCGTCAACCTCTACCGGATGACTCTCGTGCCATAACGCCGGACGAATACCTCGGAGCCACTGAACAGCACTTTGCACGTCTTCCACGCGTCGTCGGTGGAAGTCTTGTGTTCGACGAAGCGCCTGAGCTGCTCGCCGAGCTTAGCCATAAAGAGCGTCCCCGGGGTGATGCAGTTCGAGTCGAATCTCTTCTCGCTGGGTATCGGGATACCCTTGGACCTGGCCTTGGCCTCCTGCACCTCGACATCCTTGGCGGCCCTGAAACGCCGGCCCCTCTGCTGATTGATCTTGGCTCTCGGCGCTACGCCGTCGATCGCCATGAAGAACAACTTCTGCGGGCGGATCATGTTGAATAGCACCTCTATGTAGTGGAATATATTCTTAAAAATCATCTCCTCGGAGATCCGGAAGCAGACGTCGTCGTTCGGATGGGAACACGTGTGTATGATACCGTTCATGTCCAAATACAAATAATCGAATTCCGGTATCTGAGGAGAGAAAAAGAACGTACGAAAACTCAGTCAGAAACTCTCTGGTTGTCACACAGCGGGGAGGAGGGAGCTGTAAAAAAAACATTGCTTCTCTTTTTTTTTTTACTGAAACACGTTGCCGAGGCTGTTGCAAAATTCACTGCCGCCGCTGGAAGATCCACAGTGCGCGCGCGAAGGCACGGCTACGGATCTTCGGCGCTGCCAGTGAATTCTGCAACAAAGCAACCTGAAACGTTTGAGGGGAGAAGGCGAGAGTCCCGTTCGGTCTCGTTTGCGCGCAACCAAGGAAAACAAAGGGGGGGGGGGTGGACCAGCGCGGAAAAAAGGGACCTCGTCGGCCCCCAGGATTTGCATCGTCGCTTTTCCTCCTCCTCTCCCTTCCTCCCGTCCCTCTCGCGCCGCCCGTCAAATACCTGATGTTCCTTGACGACCTCGCTGAGGCAGGGGTACCTCTCGCTTATGTATCTGAAGAATTTCGGCACGCCCATCCTGAAGCCTTGCTCTGCCCGACGTCGAGACGAAAGCGCGTTCCCCGGACCGTGACTCCCTGTGCGAGCGCTCGGCGCGTCCCTCCCGTAAGGTCGTTCTATCAAAATTAAAGATTTCACTCGCGAGCAACGCTATATCAACTTTGCCTCGACGGTAACGTCCGTCGCGGAATGCCCGGTGCGGAGGTAGATGGGCAGGCGAAGGCGCGAATCCCGGGATTCACCGCTTTAAAGCGCAGTTTTCATGGTGGCGAGCCGTAGGGGGGTCGGGGGAGGGGAGGGGACTTGCAATTTGATTGGCGACCGGCGGGTTTTGTCTCTCGCGGTGTTCAAACGACGACGCCACCGCGCACTACCGTTTTGTCAACGTGGAGCGACTCGTCGGGACTGACGGAGCGGATTAACGTGTGGAAATAATTGATCTTGTTGCTGTTTAATTGCACGGGGAAAGAAAAATTATACCAGGAACGACAAATTGCGCGGCGCTGGCTCTGAGTTAATTGAGGTTAAATCGCGGCGGCTGCGCCTCAGCGCCATCTCGGGGGACAAGACGGTATTCAGTATCAGGAGCGGTGTCTGTAAAGTTGGCGGTCGGTAAGGACGGGAAGTCATGGTCACGTTATCTACGTGGCGGCCAGACGTCGTCAAGGAGGAATTCAGGCGTTTACGCGTGAAATACAATAACCCAGGCAGCACGGGACTGGGAACTTTTTAAGAATGTTCTTCGAGAATATTTGGAATATTCCATAGGTCATTGATATATATTTATGGCTCACAAATAGATTTAATATCGCCAGTGGTGTAAAACCAATGGTACGTAGTTTTTCGAAACGACCTACGCTGGCTAATGTTTTTATTTAAAAACATTCCCATTTATTCCTATTCATTCTTACTTATCTTTATTCACTTTAGGCTGGCAGATGGTTTATTTAAATCCGACGTTTCGGCCGCACGGAATTCAACAATAATATTACGTCATTGGTATTTAAACTAAAAATCGCATGAGGTTTGACATCCATCTCTGCCCAGAGAACATTTTGCGCGCAAACATCTGGCATTGTGACGACGCACTTGGACAGAATTTTGCTTGCGCCGTTGAGCCATTTTTGTACGTGAGCTGATAGATATTTGCGCGCAAAATTGTACGTTAACACGTGATCCAGCCACTTGCGTGCGAAAGCACAGACTAAACGTATCTTACGGACAAAACTCGGGCAAGTCTCATGCATAAGGCAAGCATTTGCGCGCAAGAATTGTTATCTGGGTGGGCATCACTCGGAGAACTGTGGTAGAAGGCACGTCCATTCGATGTAACGACCGCAGTAGGATTGAAATACATGAAAATAAGATAAAACAAGATACAATAAGACAAAGTAATGCCCACTGGGCATTAGTGGACATTGGTGTATGTACATGATTTTGGTCAGCGGTTTACTCCTCGATTGACACAGTGCCACGCAGGGAATCATTTCATCCTTGTTCAGCGATGGCAAACAACAAAGATAAAACGATTCACTGTGTTACGCAGTGCCGCCTGCGTATGTTGCTGGGAAGCAACCAAATTATCGAAATGCATCTAATCTAATACATAGTCTAAAACTGTTTTGATTTTTGCACGACTGTTTGCAAAGATATAGTTTAAATTTAAATAGTGGTGCGGAGCAGCTCGCGGAAGATGGTTATCGATCCGAAAACATTTTGCGCGCAAATATCTTAGCATGACGACGCGCTGGGATAGGATTTTATTTGCGTTGTTGGGCCATTTTTTTACGTACACTGCGAGACATTTGCGCGAAAAACTTATACATTAATACATGAGCTAGCCACTTGCGCGCAAAAGTAGACTAAACATCCTACAAGCAACACTCGGGCAAACATAGTTTGCATGCATAAGACATGCAAAATTTGCGCGCAAGAATTGCTATCTGGGCGGATGGATAAAATGTATGAGCAATCAAAATCATTTAAAAAAAATTAATTTCAATGAATTGATTAAATTAATTGAAGCGATTCTTCGTTACAGCATTGCTGCTCGTTTACGAGTTTAACTAACAAGTGTTCGTGGAGAAGAAGGATTCCTCCTGCCTGAGATGATCGTTGCTCAATCGCCGACGACATCCTGCGCGCAGAAGAATACATAAAGATGATAATTTCTGCATTGGTCGTCAATGTGCAAGTAATTAATCTCGATATTTTTCGAAATTTTTAAAAGCGACTGACAAAGATGTTTGTTTCGCCCTGTAAGTAATTGCGTTCGAATTAATTCTTGTAGATCCTCGAGTCACTCCGGCGAAGGCGGCGCGTGGCTTGCTCGCGCGTGAAGCATGCTTCGAGTACCGGCTGAAAGCTGAAAGACGATCACCTCCGTATTCCCCGCTGCAGAAACGGCGGTTAAGCATTTTCAGGCTGACGCATTACGCAAACATTTTGATTGTTGCCACGCAGTGACGGGCGCGTGTTAGTTGTACCGTCACTCCCGTCCCGATCGCTTCGATCGACATGAGCCCCGCGATGCGGAGTGGAGCACAGGAGTCCGATCGCAAACAGTCCTCATTATTGGCGTCTCACCGAATAATATTACACGCCAACGGCGACGGCGGTAGCAAGCGTTAGAATTTTGGACCCGGCGGGAAGGTAGACAGAAAAGAGCAGCGACAGGGGGACAAGAAAGAGAAAGAGAGAGAGAAACAGGGGAAAGAAGAGAGAAAGAGAGAGAGAGAGAGAGAAATGATCGTCTTGATAAATGGAAAAACGCACCACTTACGAGGGCCGCTATCGGCGCCGCTGATCTCTCTCGGCGGCGATCGTTCTTTCGTCTCGCGCTACGCGTTTGAATAATTAATTTGTTCTCCATGTGCATCGGAGATGTGACGGCAGTTACACCACCTCGGGTGGCCGCGCGCCGTGTTTACGCTCACCCAGAATGTTTAAGATAGCGTCGGCCAGTAACCCGACACAGATTTTTAAATAACAAAACCCGACCCGCGGTCGGGCGTACGTTATTCTCACTCTCGATCCGAGATTAATGCTCGCGGATCAATTTTCTGTTTCATTTACATTTCTGTCCGGTAGAGAAAAGGAATTTGAAACCAGTTCGACGAAGCGAGTAGAGCTGACGATCCTTTAGAAATACAGAGCGGTAAAAAAAATAAGCGCGAAGCATTTTATTTCTCTTCTAGAAGAGGCATAGAAATGCAATAGTGCAGCGTCCCGCGCGAGTAGTCGCACACTTTCGCTACGAGGCTTGTATGTCGAATCGCGTATAATTCTGTCAGGACAAGATCCGATTATAACTTGTACATGTCTTCTTTCCCATTAGCGAACCCTTGTCCTCTTTCTTTCTTTACCGCCTGCCCTACTCGCGTCGTGCATTCTCCGTTCCTCCTTCGCCCCGTTCTCCAATATCTCTTACGATCTGCCTGTCCTTCAGCAATCCGGCCGTAGGTCTTGCATATGCATCGCTCATCGCCGGTGCACGCGCACTCACGCACCGGCTACTTAGTGCGTGAGTCGCGGGTATGTATAGTTTAGCTGGTTCACGTGTACTTACGCACCGAATAGCTGGTCCACGTGAACTCACGCACTAAATAGCCGGCGCGTGAGTGCATATGCATCAACCAAACTATATATACCATACGCTTATCATCGTCCTCTCTCTCTTTCTTTCTCTCTCTCTCCCCCCCTCCCTTTCTCATTCACCGATAATACATTATCTTGACCTTCTTGTTTCAGGTTTTCCTACCAAAGCTCTCTTTTTGAGTGTTTAATTTAACTTGGTGCCCTTCGTCACACGACCCGATGTCTCGACTCATATTTCGTTTCGATGAACAAGCGTAATATCTTCCGTGGCATTCATACGACACCCTTCGAACAATGTTTGAAAAACGAAGCTGAATTTTGCGACGTAAGGGTTTTGGAAGTAGAAACTGAAGAGGAGTCTGAGAGCAGAAGAGTTCAATAACGTCTATCGCTGATTCAATGACAAGGTGGTCAATTCTGTATCTTGCAATAATGTGAAAATGCTAAAATCCGTGTATGCTAAAAACTTGTAACTGCGCACAATCGATAGCTCGGTTCGATAGAATTGACTCCAAGGAGACGAGTCGGAAGGAGAGGGCTACAGTTTTTTCCTTTACAGGGAGAGAAGAGGAGCACGTTCATGTTGGATCGTAACGCGTGTATGAAGCCGGGGACCACGGAATATAAATACGAATCCTCGCGACGTTCTCTCCGCTGGAATCGATATGCTAAGCGGATGAGCGGACAGGACGGATACATCGGCTAGCTGGTAGCATCGCGATCGATATACAGTCTCGATAAAGGGAGGCGCACCGGCCGGTCGAGACGAAGAAGACGATGAAGAGGAAAAAGAAGAAGGAGTAGGAGGACGAGGAGGAGAAGAAGAAGAAGAAGAGAAGAAGTCGCGGCGGTTTTAGATCCGGCGATATAGGTGGCACGATATATAAGCCGTTCGGTCGCCGGTCCGCGTCTCCGTGGCCGGGCATATATAATCGGGCATACGTAACAGTTTTTACATTTGCGTAACACGATCGCGCAGTCGATCGATGACGAGGGACGCGGCGCCTCGTGAAAGAAAAACGGCGTTTCGATAGAAGAGACGATCCCGCCGATCGGCAGGACACGTCCGGCGTATATAAGCCCGTGGATGGACCTCTCGTGCGTTTCAGTCGCCCGAAAACCCCTACGAGTTCCGGACAGTCTCTTCTTTCCCATCAACGAACCCTCTTATCCCCTTTCTTTCTTTTCCTCCTGCCCTACTCGCGTCGTGCGTTCACCGCTCCTCCTCCCGGGTTCGCCCGTTCTCCAATCTTTCACGGTCCAGCCGTCCTTCAGCCTTCCGGCTGTAGGTGCACATGCATCGCTCGTCGCCGGTGCACATGCACTTGCGTATACCAACGAAACTATACCGCGCGATCATCATCGCGCTCTCCTTCCTATCTCTCTCTCTCCTTCACTCTCACTCGCCACACACTATCGCCCTTGTCCTTCTCCTGTCTCTTCTCGTCTCAAGTCCTCCTTGCTCTTTTTTTGCCCCGGCCACCAGCGAACGCGCGCGGCGTCTCCTTCGCTAGTAACTTCCTCCCTCTCTCCCCCTTCCTTCACCCTCTTCCAACAACGTCTAGCTCTTTTTCTCCCCCTCTTCCTGACTACTGTCCTGTCGTCGTCGATTCTGACCATTTTACTTTTGCACACTCTTGTTTATCTGTCCCGCAACGCGAGCGCGCGATCGCTCCTGTATACATTCCTTTTTCGCTGTGCAATTGAACGACACTCGTCTCATTTGCACGTCGAAATTAAGGAAGGTGGAAGAAAGAGGTGAAGAGAACGGAATACACTGGGATAAGAGTGACAATGTTGGAATGGTACGTCGGAGTTACGGGCTTCCTGCTGACCCTCCTTGTCTACTTTGCGTATTTCTTCAAATTCAACTGGGTGAAAGTGAGTGTCGACCAGTGCGGCCTTTTTACCCCGATTTATCGTCTGTGTTTTCGCCGCAATAATGCTCGAGGATTGTAAAACTTGGCATTTTTCTTAAAGGATTTGAGAAGTGAGAGTAAAACTCGGCGGACCGGCGTTCACGCGGGTAGCAAGAATCGAAAATTGGGTAAACTGCCGCCGGTCTATCCGAACGGATGGTTCGCCCTGCTCGAGAGCTCGCAAATAAAAAGGAGTCAAGTGAAACACGTGTCCGCTCTCGGCGAAAATTTCGCGGTGTTCAGGTACGTCGGGCTGCGGGAATTTCCTTCGAATTAGCCTCCCCCCAGTCCTGTATACAGAGCTTGGTGACTTGACTTTTTTCATCAAAGATACAGATACAAGATAAAAGAATAATTTTCAATAGTTTCAGTGAGGAGATACAAGTTACATTTCTTAAATTCCTTCGATTTAGATATAGATACAAGATGCGCTGAGTTCTTTTTCCGGAGAAAGTATCTGTATCTGCAATTATATCTGTGTTAGCATCTTTTAAAAAAAGATATCAACCAGGTGGAAATCTGTCTCAATTTGCCGAGATTAAGTACAGGGCCTGGATGGAAAAATCCAATTAAAAATATCCGTTTAGGTCCAGACTACACCCTAGAAATTTACCTTGATTTTACCGAGAGAAAAATAGTCGGAAAAATCTACATGGGTCCTAGATTGCCACTGACAGATTTTTCCCTGATTCCCTCCTGAATAGATAGCACTAGTACCACATACTACCGTGACGTGGCGACCGCGCGTTAGTCTTCCTCGTAAGTAAAAATCGTCCCGTATTAGTATAAAAGGCGAGCCGATATGATGCGAGAGCGAGTTGTCTGGATCATGGATAAACCTCGACGTTACATTTACGGTCAGGGCCCTTTCAGGGCTGCCTGATGAGTGCCTTAATGCCTGACCAGGCATTAAGGTATCTTTATTAGGACCCTATCAGAACCCTACTAAAATTTCTGCTCGGGTGGAATTCCAGGGAATATTTTAGAGAAAAATTTTAGATTGAAGCCTGGACCAGATCATAAAAATAATTGTGGTATCTACAAACTAAGTAAATATCTAGGAAAATTATAGACCCCAGCTAGATTCCAGATAATTTTTCTAAACAAATTCCGGGCGTAATCTTGGACCGATCTGGATTCAGCGATAGGGCCTGTTCGATTTAGGCGTCCCAAACTTTACATAGACCCTATCTAGATTTTCCACCTGGATCCCAGAAATATCTTACAAAAAATATATGGGGCCCTGATTGTTTCCAGACAAAATTTCTACCTGGGAAGCTCTGCCTGTATATTTATCATAACATAAGTCTCAGTCTCCAATAGATGATTGAAGCCCTGAGCTCTAAGAAATTGATCAATCACCGTCGAGTATTCTTCTTATTTTCGACTGTAATTAGTCAATTTCTTAGGGCTTGGCGCTTAAATCATCTATTGTAGACTGGGACTAAAGTTTTAACAATTTCTTAAAGAACCGAAAAAGGTGTGGTCAACATTTTAGACGCGTACTGCCCGCATTTGGGGGCAAACATGGCCGAGGGTGGCCGTGTGACGGGAGATTGCCTGGAGTGTCCCTTTCACAGCTGGAAGTTTCGCGGAGAGGACGGCTACTGCGAGAGCATACCTTATACGGAAAAAGGTATTAATCAAGTTCTACGTAATATCGCCTCAAATAATGTCTATTTACCCTTTTGCACCCGCAGCTTCTGTACGCTGTATCGGCCGAGTGTTTTTTTACACTTTGAAACCACATTCCTGCATCGAAATACCTGTTTGCGCATTTTAGCATGCAAATATTTGTGTCTAAATTTCGGGCGCCTGTGATGAATCGTGGCCCTCGACACATCGCTTGCTAGTCTAGTTATTCGCAATTCTCTTGCTCTTATATGATTTGTATAAAATCTTGCCGCATATTTTTTTAACGTTATGCTATGATGCTCTATAACTTTTCCTATTTCGTACACACAATGTATAAATTTGACAAAAAACCGATTAAATTAGCTGCATGAATTCCGACTCGATACAAGAAGTATAGAACTATAGATGATAAAAAATAAAACGTCAGTCAAGTCGTATTTATATGCACTTACATGAACAGTCTTGAATCTACTTCCAAAACTTATGATTAACGAAACATCCCACTTAGCGAAAATGGATTTAAATTGTAACTAAGAAACAGTTACAGTAAAATGTGCTTAATTGTGCAAAAATATATCGCTTGATATCGTGAAATAAGAAAAGCCACAGAAACCGTCTATTGGCGCATCTATCTGAACAATATTTAACCGTTCGTTTTTTTTTCTTTCCGCAAAGTGCCACATATCGCTCGAGCGAAAGTCTGGAAGTGCTGCGAAGTGAATCGTTTAATCTTCGTCTGGTACCATTCTGAGTTAGCTGAGCCGGACTGGCAACCCCAGGCGCACACATGCATTTCCAACGGGGCCTGGCGCTACCAAGGTCGTAATGAGTTCCTCATTAACTGCCACATACAGGTTTGTCACGCATTTGCCTCTCTGATGTAATAGCAGTTGCGCTATGTCACTCGTAAAATACTAGAATCAAAAGAAAGCAGTTATAAATTTTCATAGAATTAAGCGACCTACACTGGCTAATGGTTTTTATTTAAAAAACGAGTATTACAACGTTTCGGCCCCGGGTTTGGGCCCTTTTCAAGTGTTCTGAAACGCAAATTACAAATTCGTATAACAAAGCTGAAGGCCTATCCTAATGCAACTCTAAATTACATACCTTAC